TATTTCGAGTTTGTCCAAACTATCATCAAAATATCAACTTTTCATGAATTGAGAGTACTGATGTACTTAATTTCAATTAAAGCTATGTTTTGGACCATATTTAGCACAATTTATTTTTTATCTCGAAAACAGATAGAGATAGGTATAGGACATTATTAACGGGGTGTTCCATTTGAAAAAAATAGGACTTTTTGATAGGTCAATTTGGTCTAAATCAGGTGGTTCAGTAGGCCACTCGATGAAACGTTTCTACCAATCACAATACCCAGATCGTGACAGATATTTTGTACATCCTGAACAGTTTTTAGTTTTCAGTGTACTAAAGAATATCTAGCAATACCTCCTGCATAATGTTCTGTTGAAAATATAAGAGTCCATGAAGGCATCATTGAAATTATTGACCATCATGAATTTATCATTGGAGCTCACCGTGTTTAACCCCCTGTAACGAATGGAAATCGAAGCGTTTGACGATCTAATGAAGGTTTTAATTTTTCCAGCTCGATTAGTTACGCGAACAGGTAGATTAAACGTGTTCCAGCTTTTGCATATCACATCCCAAATAAATATTTCCCGCAGAAGGTAATCCGGGGCTTTGAAAACCGAATCCGCGCGGATGATTTTAGGCTATATTTTTTACCGTTGAAAATTAAAGCAAGGGATGAACGTCTATGGAAATATTCAGGGTTATTTCAAATTACGCTCTATCTGCTTTCACAAAGAGCTTTCCATCCATTTGGGTATTGATAATATGGTTGAGATATTTATTTAGAAACCCCATGGTTTCTTTATTGGATTAAAGGCTTCTTGTCAAAGTTATCTCCGCGGAAGCAGGTACCGTGAAAGAGCAGAGGGAGGTCCAGTGAAATCGCGCACAGTGCGCACCGAATGATAAAAAATTACAAGAAAACCAGTAGAGCAAATTACAAACTTATTGATGAATATTCAGTTGTAGACTATTTCAGAATGTAATTGAGGAAACCGTCCTTCATTCGAAATCAAATTTATCCGTATAGCCTTCAGTTACCGCTGCAGATCGCCAACCTCCATGTTTTTTTGATGTTAACTTTGATGTGATGTGAAAGTTTCACATCGTAAAAATTATCGCTGTCTTGATCAATATCAGCGATTGATTCCTCAACGGAATAATAACAGGAATAATAATACAGAGGAATAATAATACAAAGGATTTTCTTATCGAGGGGCCCTATTATAGTTTGCAAGAATTTTATAACGAAACCTTTTAACCATATTTTATACACTTTTGTTTCTATACATTATTTTTGTGTTTGTATGTGTGTGTGTGTGTGTGTGTGTGTGTGTGTGTGTGTGTGTGTGTGTGTGTGTGTGTGTTNGCTCTCATGTATTTTTGTCGTGTCGTGATCACTTTTCGAAAAAAAATTAAAAATAATAAAAATCTGTGCAGGCCTTTGAGCCAGGAAACAATATTATAAAAATGCCTTATAAGTACTTACTAATGCTCAAACGGTACTATGAGAATTCTTAATTTTTTTAAATTTGTACCAAAAGGTACGCTTCACTTTGTTACAAGGGGGTTTATTAGTTACATTAATGGATATAGAAGTTGAACTAAATTGAGTAAGCACCATTATTGAGTTTGTTGATGAAGAAATGACATTAGCAAATGAGTGTTGTTTACACCCATCAACATGCAAGGAATAACAAAAACTAGTTGAGCTTTGCCTTTTTAATTTTTAGGTAACATTTCTTGTTCTAATAGAAGGCCCTGCAGTATTTTTTTCTGGTAGAAAATGAAATTTCAATAATTGAAAATATTGAAAAATGTTTTTCCTAAAGTGAGAAATAAGGGATTATTGGGACCTTAACAGTAAAAGTTACCTCATTTCAGGCAGACTGTGAAGTCATCACAGCAGCCAGGTTGCCTCTCAGGTCGCCATACAAGGCGGCAGACCACCCAGTCAACCAGAGTACACCGAATTGTTACGTGGTGTCCTGTCACCCAGCGGTGAACCAATCATAGTGTACCAAGTAGGAGTTACCTCATTTCAGGCAGACTGTGACATCGTCAGAGCAGTCAGGTTGCCTCTCAGCTCGCCAGTCAAGGCAGACAGACCACCCAGTCAACTAGAGTATACCAAATTGTCACGTGGTGTTCTGTCACCCAGCCGTGAACCAATCAGAGAGTACCAAACTGTCACGTTGCTCGCCAGCTAATCAGAGCGCGCACTTCTACATCCCAGATCATCGTGGCGGGAGATTTAAATTTTCTGTGGACATGACTAATTCAGGCAGGCAGACGACCAGACGTATCCCTTAACAAGACAGACCGCCCAGTCACGGGGCGCACTTACGTCAGCTCATCTTGCTCAGCACAGCTTGCATAGGTTCCTAGGCAGGTTGATATTTCTGTACTGGGTCTACGACTGAAAATACCTGAACCATTCCGCCCCACTAACTCATACTCATAAAGAAACTAAATATGTTTTACTAAACAGTGATCATAATTCAAATGTAAAAACAATTCGAAAAGCAATAACCAACAGTTCGAAATTACTTTCAATATCTAACGGTGGTGTTGAGGCTAACGATTAAGTCTATCACACCAAAGACCTGCGTTCAATTCGTCGTGAAACAAAAATGTGTTGAGCAAAAAGATGGGCAAACGTAAGCGCGCCACATGACTGGGCGGTCTGTCTTGTTGAGGGATACACTCTGATTAGTTGTTGACGAACTTATTTTAAAATATGACAGTTGTCAGAAAATTTCTTCAAATGCTAATATTTTCTTTATTTCGATGAGAACTGGCCGAACTGCAAATTCTGTGGGTCTTAAAGTTATCAAAGAAAAACATTTTTCATTTTGTAACTTCGAGGGCCCGTTACTTGGTAACGAAGGATTTTAGGAAAAAAAGTTATATGAAGTACTGGTGATATTTTGACCCCATCTATACATTCCCGAGAGGAAAAGAGGAAGTCCAGGGACACCCTGTATATGACTGGCCAGTTGAAGAAAGAACTTCGAAACCACTATGTGATTTCTGTTTGTGAGGTTGCAGTCAATTTTGAGGATGCCAGGGAGTAAGAAAAACTCTTTGGTATTACATCAAGCTTTCGGAAATGTTTATTTCCTTCTTCAGGACTTACTGAAAAATGTAAGCAAATTAACAACACAGTTACAATTTCATAGATTGGATGAGACTACTTAATTGAGAGAAGCTAGTTCAATACTTGTTGATCATCTTATGCAGAACAAACAGTATAAATGTAGATTTCAATCTACATTCAATTGTAGATTGAAATCTTAATTGTACAATAGCAGAAATTTGGGAAGCTATCCTGGAATGTCATCGGAACACGAATCAACATGTTTCTAAAAATGATATGAAATCGAGAAAAGTTAATGCAGTCAAGCTGCTGGAAAATTATTCCTTGAAAATCAACTCCCATATTGATTTCAACTTGAGAGCCACCGGTAGACAGCTGTTTCAGCCTATTGGGCATCGTCAGTACCGGGCAGACAGTCCTCGAGTGAAAACAAAATGTGAATAACCAAGAAAAGTACTTAATAAAAATAACTTCGTAGACGCAAACGAGACATAAGTGGAACCACCTATTGGTGTGACACCCAAGTCAACTTGCTAAGTTTTTATGTCAGTGTTGGTTGATTGATCACCTATTGATTGTATAGCATAAATAAGCATCAAGAAATGGAATCAAAATTTTGATTCTATTCAAAACATTCTTGCTCGCTTTGCGATATTCGATAATCTAGATATCACATATTTTCTCGTAACGCAAAGTCAGCTACAATGCCGATTGTAATTCGAAATAGAAAATCAAGGGAGAAGAGCTGATAATTAGGAAAATTTGTCGGATATCTTTCGTTGTCGTGTCACAGAAGAAGTTTTGAAAAATGTATCGTAGAAGTAACGTGCTATATTGGCATCATTCTGTGTCGTAAGATTCTTCTTGAAACTG